CCAGATAGGGCTACACAATATTCATAGTTCCAGGCATATAGCAGAGACCAAAGCAGATATTAATATATCACAGCAGAACAGGAGGTACATTTAACTGGCAAGTCTCCTATGCAGGGCTATAAGTGTCTTGAAGGAGAGGAGGACCTTGCATGTTCTGTGACCTAGTTTTTCTTCAGCATTTTACAATGGCTGGCACATTAATATGCATTTCATAAATATTTATTATTAGTCATTACTGTTAAAACCTTGGATACATGTTTGTTGCATGAACGTATGAATGTGCCCTAAAGCCACACAGCTGGCAGTTGGTGAATCCAGAATTTGAACCCATTCTATTGACAGCAGTAAATACAGTTACCATTGCCTGTGAGCTTACTAGCGGCCTTGCTCAGCCCCTCATCATCTCACTACTCACAAACTCCTCAGAAAGTGATATTACTATCCTTTTTAACTGATGAGGGTTTTGAGCCCCAGAGTCCTTATGTTCCTTGCCCAAGATCATCTGCTGCATCTCTCTCCTTCAAACTCTAAACTACTCTGCACTAACTAATCCTTCTCTCTTCACAGCCCTTGTGGTGGTGCCAGGGTACCCTTGGCTGCTTATAAGGGAGGCGTTCTGTTTATTAACTCACTGGGTCTCCAGGTGCCAAGCAATCCATTTGGCTGATTTTCTCTCCCTGCTGAATTGACTAATTTGTTTTACAGAATTGACCAGATTGGCTAGTTATTTCAGTGGTAAGTCAAATTATGCTTGTCCATTTTTTAAAATGAAGACTCCAACTTCCAGGAACCTACCTAAACACTAAGGGTGAGATACACCTAAATTATAGTTCAAGGTTAGACACTTATTAATTAGGAAGTCTTGGACACGTACTTGATTTCTTTAGGTGTCAGTTATCTTATCAGTAGAAGTGAAGATTATATCAATTCCTGCCTAATCTGGTTATTGAAAGGATTAAGAGAAGTGACTGTTTAGTTCCTAACACAATGGTTGATCTTTAAGGAGTTTTGTTGTGCAGTAGCTGCTGTTACTGGATTTATCATTGTTAATGCTAACCTTAACATTTAATTTCAATATTATTCTTGTTCTACAGCCTTCACTGACCTCCTTAACCTAGATCATTTAGCTTCCTTCAAAGGAAAGCAGAGTAAATTACTTGCTCCTCATTGGGTAATGCTCCTTCCTTATGGAGTCTAAATTGTGTTACAAAAATTGACTCCAGTCTCTTATTCCCTACCCTCTCTTCTAATTATAGGCAGTTTTGATATAAGTTCATTCATCTTTTCACTACCAGCCTTTCACTGTTCCTAACATACCAGTGCTCCATGGAGGTTGTTGCATTGAATGAGTAGGTCAATGTCTATTCATACGGAGTGGATAGGTCCATTTTGTTGGTATATCATTGCTGAGGTCATTGATGGCATTACTTTAGTTTTCATGTGTAACGACAATATAGCCTTGGCCTGCATCTCTTGCTTTCTATAAAGATTTTCACTATCTATATAGAGGAGATCAATTTTAATTTTGTACTTTTTTAAAGGCTTGCTTGTGCTACATTATATCAATTTTTTCCTTCTGCCATTCCTACCATAGGGCTTTATGAAAAGGCCTACTTTCATTTAAACTTGTATTTCCCACATCACTTTAAGGTATACATTGTACTCTTCCCCCCATCATGAATATATTACCATTTTACTCTATCATTATGCTGTCAATCTGTAAAGCCCTTGAGAAAAAAAGAGAGTCCTTATTTTAAATAGGCCTGATACTTTGCTGAAGAGGTGAGTGCCCTATCTACAATTCTATTCTTGTCAAGAATAGGCTTTTGAAATTTTGAAGTGAAGAAATGGAATTTAGGAGAGCTACCAAACCATGAAAGATCTAGGAAGAATAAAAGAAGTCAAAAGGAGAAAACAATAAAATTCAAAGACATTGCCAGTTGGATCAAAGTTACTGTAGAGTTTTGCAGAAGGTCCTTCCCTTATTTTGAAATAACTCAGTATTCAACAAGGAATGCCCTGAATGGTCAGACTGAGGTAAAAGACATGGGATTCACCCTAAGAAAAAAATTGTAGTTGAAGCTCACTGAAGTTCAGGTAACCAGGCCATTGCTAGTGGTCATGAAGTAGAACATTTTTTAGTTTGAATTTTTAGATGAAGTGATAGAGATTGGAATGTCAACTGAATGAGAACAGGAAAGGGGGACATTCAGTAACCATTCCCAGATAAATGATTTGCAAGTGGTGGTAGGAGGTTGTTGCTCTATTTCCAGTGAAGTTTGGATGAGACAATTCACTTGAAGTAAAACAGGAGAGATTTATGTAGGATTCACACAACTTTCTGCTTTCTGAGATTCTCAAAAATGTTACTAAGTAGGGCAGAATTTGCCCCACAGACAAGGCTGGAGAGTTTTCCAAGATTCCAAGTCTTTAGGAAGGGTTTCCAGGGACAGCACTGCCACAGTCCCAATTGTTCTCTGGGATAATCTGACCTGATTCACAAAGGAAGCGTATGGAATCTCATGGACTTCTGACTTTACATAAAAAGGTGGGTGGCAACCAGGCAGGGGAATAAATCAGTTCTTTTGCAGATGGAAGCTCGGCCCAGCTCAATTGCTTCATAATTGTGCAAATGCTACAGCAAATGATAAACTGCAGTTAACTTCCTTTGCCAAATATACAAAGCATTTGTACTTTTGCTTAAATCTGAATGTTTTTTGATGTGAAAGAATTGATTAGGTTAAAGTTTCATGTTGGAGATATTACTTATAGATAGCAGTCATTGTGGGGGAACAATCCCTTAAGCTACTTCTGTGAAAAATCTCAATCAACTGCTGCTAGCTTTTGCTTTGCAAAACGTTGACATATGTCCCTTGACCTTTACCAACTACCCTTTCACGTTTGACACTTCACATTTGCTACATGATTAAAATTCAGCATTAATTAATTTCAACATTATCAGTTAAGTTATATTTAGCTAAGAAAGAACACTCACTTTTGTCTTTTGTGAGTAGCATAGCAGTATTATTACAAAGAGGTAGTCAGGAGGGCAACAGAGATAGGAGAAGAGAAGAATGATTCAGTGTGTAGATAATTGTTTCAAGTGAAATTTAGCTTGATATTTTTGTTCCTGTCCTCAGTAGAACTGAGATTTAGCACCTCCTGCTGGCATTTAGCCCCCACCCCCATGTAGAAGGAGGCTGTGCTGTGTGGATGCTGAGAATGAAACACACCAGAATCAAATTATAGCACAATTCTAACACTGGCAGGAATTTTCTCTGGCCAGCTCTTGGGAACAAACCTGATGATCCTAAAAGAGAGGCAAGGCATTACTAGAAAAGATTGCCATATGGGGTGGCATCCTTATCAATGAGGGAGGTTGACATGATTGTATAAATAGTGTGGCCCCAAAGTAGTGACCATTCCCAAAGTAAACAGTCAAACCTAAAATGTTAGCCATAGCAGAGTTAGAATTCTACGCTTAAAAATGTCATCCATCTTACTAATGACTTATTCCATAGTGTGATCAAAAAGTTCATTAGAAATAGATAAATCCCAAGAAACTTAACCTCTTTTTCTCAGTTTTCTAACTAAAAAACATTTTTATTAGCTTCTCTATTCCATGCCCTTTTGCTCCTTTGGTAAGAATGTGGATAGGCAAATCTTGCTTTTACCTAAAGCTCAACATGCTGTAGAACCATCACAGTCTTTGGGATATTGGCACAGAACTGTGACACATAAGTTTATAATGTCAGTGAAATCCTTCTTTTTCTTTCCTGCTCATACAGAGCAGAAAGAGAGAGGATCTCCACTTTGTTGACAGAGCGGGTGAAACACAATTTATATGTAAATTGTCCATGTATGGCTTGTTGAAGACCTACTAATAGATATTGGTCTCATTGTGACAGTATACCAAGTATCCCTCAGTTTACCCAAAACAAAACAAGCAAAATTTTGTAAGCATTTTCATTTGTGTATCACAAAACATTCTGCCATCAGTAACTCAACTTTTATGTTCCAGAATCTGGCCCCATGCCCTCATCTCATCCTTTACCTATAGAGGAGGGATTTGGATCTCTGGTGGATTTTGTTTTCCTGTCCACTCCCTAGAAAAAATTTGCCACCTCCAAATTTTAGGTTCAGTAGTCAGGTGACTCAGCATCAAGCTACATTTCACTAGTCAGGCATTGCTAGAATGCCTCTGGATTGGTACCCAGCCTTAGGTCTTAATCCTGAGCCGAGTCTATCTTTGTTCTTGATGGGACACTAAATGCATATGTGAGATCACGTCAAAATCTATCAGCCCAGTAGCCTGGGGTCTCTGGATTTTTCTTAATTGTTTTTGTTTCCCCACTCCAGGATAGTAAAGTCCTATTTCTGAAACCTCACATTATAATTAAAGTTTTACTGCCACTGAAAATATCCCTGATTTAACCTGCCTGTTCTAGCCTTTGACCTGAGCCTCTGTGGTTTCCCTGTCACCTGGCTCTGCTCACACATTTGTCCCCATAACCCTCTATCTTCCAGCCTCCACCAGTCACTGGGCCTTCTGGACACGCTGACTTATTTTTCACCCTGGACTGACTCTTTTGAGGTCCAGATTTCAGTCACAGTAACCATACCTTCCCACTTCACCTGGGCTACAGTTGACCTTAGCCAATCCTGAGGTAATTCTGGAGGAAGATGAGTTTTGATATCACAGGAGCATACATAAATAATATGGGTAAATCATCAGCTATATTTAGGAGCAAATAACTTTTCTTTTAAAGAGTAGGAAGATTTCATACAAATATAACTTTCTACTGCTTGATTCTTCTACTCTCTTTTGGCTTCACTTGGGGGATGATAAGGGGAAACATATACTTCAAATATTTATTTTCAAATGAAAAACTTAGGTATATTTTTCTTCATTGTTGACTGAACCTAGCTGTCCATGCACCTTGAGATTGAAGATGGTTTTAGTTTGTAAATTACTTTTCTCTCTGTTTTTCCATTTTAAGGTATTACACAATGGCCTCATTATGGAGATGAACCATCCAGCAGTGGGGAAGATTTCAGTTCCAGGTTTGAATGTTTTTGTTATTTTTTCCTAATACTTTTCTTCATTAATTTTCTGCTGCAGGTGGCTTGATGACTCCCCAAAACAACTTATCAAGACATTATCCAAACTTATAATTTGGGTTGAAAGGGGATGGTAGGAGCACACTTGTAAGAAAGAAAGCTGAGACCACAGGGCTATGTCTTAGCTCTGAGGAATGTCTGATTGCCTCAGTGACAAAACAAGTTCACATTTCCTCATTCCATTTTGTGTCATTTTGTATATCCAAAAGTACATGATGTGATTATTATCAGATGGATAATAATAGATGTGGAAAAATATTAAGAAACATAGTGTGATTATTTTGGAATGAGAAAGAAAAACAGGGAAGATAGAAGCAGTCATTTTCTTCTGTAACTATGGTTTATGGTATAGATCTTGGCTTTACAAATCAGGAAACTAAATGTTTTCATTAAGGTCAGAAGTGAGTGAATTTTTGTAAGTTGACTCACGCCAGAAAAACGTACCCAAGACCGCTGCTTAGGCCAAATGCCAACCTTTTCATTTCTGGATGGAACTCTCTTTCTGATAGCTAGGAGCTGCATGCCTACTCTCAGAACATCCTGTTGAACAATTCTCATGACAGAGCTTAGAATTAATATCTCATCCTTACCAACTTCACTTTTCTGGTATCACAGTATTATTCCTCAGATCTGTTGTCTCTCCTCTGGGCGGTGTATGGAAAACACTCCATGTTCTTATTCATTTTGTCCTTATTTTCAACAATATCTACAAACTTTTTTTCTTTTCTTCTAATACAAGGCAATGAAATTAGCTAGGATCTAACCTTCATTATTGTTTTCTTGAAAGATTTTCCCTAGTCATCTTGTTTGGAATTTGGGCATTCCTCATACTGCTCAATCACCCAGGTCATATGGCAGAGGGCTTTTACAGCTGGAGGCATTCTGTGCACTAAGCTACATCCCTAGGCCTGTTTTTAGCTTTTATTTTGAGACAGAGTCTTGCCAAGTAGCTGATTTACCAGGCTGGACTTGAACTTGTGATTCTCCTGCCTCAGCCTCCCAGATTTCTGGAATGACAGATGTGTCCCATGGCACCCAACTGAGATACTGTATAATGTAGAAAGGTGATGAAACAAACTACTTCTAAAAACTAAGAAGTTCATTCATTCATTCATACCATTGAGCATATGCTATGTGCTAGGCACTACTTTAGGGTTAAAAACGAAACAGACAGCTTGAACCCTGGCCATGTGGAGTTTGTATTTAATGGAATGTTAGGTGACATAAGCAACCAACAAGTGTTTCTATGTCTGCAAAGAAAAGAAAGAATAGTGTGCTGCCCCAGAGAATGACAGCGGCAGGTGGGGACTCAAGTAGTTTGTGTGGCTCAGAGGAAGCTGGCCTGTGAGGGCTAGGGGGAGAGTATTGCATGCAGTGGGACCAGCAAGTGAGAGGGCCTGTGGTGGAAAGGTGGAAAAAGCAGGTGTAGACTAAGCCAGCATGAAAGAGCTGTGTGGACAATGGGGCAGGACTGAGACTAAAGAGATTAGCAGAGCCCTGAGGCCCCACTAAGGCTCAGTCTACCTTGATGTTAGGTACTGGAGCAAAATAACCCAAGGTATAACTTAGAGTAGGAGCCAAGTAGGGAAATTCTTACAGGAGTTTAGTTGATGGTCTTTTAAATTGGGGTCATGGTGGTAATAAAGTGAAGGAGGTGGTCAGAACCAAAAAAATGTAAGCATAGCACTTTCATTTTGAGAAGACTTTAAAGGGTACTTTGTAGTAGTTTTAAATTGTTTAATAGTGGACCTGATTGATATTCGAAATGAATCTTTGCTACCTAAAATAGATCAAAGCTGCCAGGCATGGTGGCACACACCCATAATCCTAGTATTCTGGAAGGGTGATGCAGGAGGATCACAAGTTCAAGTCCAGCTTGACTTAGTGAGAACTTAGTGACTTAGTGGGAACTGGCCTCATAAAAACAAACAAGCAAACAAGGAAACAAGGTTGGGGATGGCGCTCAGTGTGATGGTCCAGCATTGACAGATAGATAGATAGTTAGATAGATAGATAGATAAATAGATAGATAGAAGATAAAAGCAGAGTTTTCCTGAATGATAGGTTAACACTCCATCTGTGCAGCTTTCCTCCTCTGTCCCTACAGTGCCATGATTCTGCAAACATCTCTCTTTGGAATCATGGGCCCCAAACCACAACTCAGGAACCTTTGATCTAAAGATGATGTCCTATAGAGTCATCATAGTCCCCTGTGCATTAGAGGAAAGGGGAAGCATGTACAAGTCAATACAACTGTTAGCGTGATATGTGAGGAGAAAAGTCAGTGAGCAACCTAAAATGAACACACTGGTTGAAAGTAACACTGTCTCCATCCACATGTGAATGTGCTGGGTTTCCAGGGTAAAGAAATGAAGAACCAATCTCAGGAAAAAGGGAATGTTATTTTCAGATTTCTAAAGGGGAAGAATATCCCTGTTGTTCACTTTAATTTATAAAGATATTGTCCAATAATGCTGTGTAAGAACCATAAAATCTCAGGGGCATTCAGACATATGTCTTTAATTATTGCACGAGTGTCACATCTCTCTTTGCCGGGCTTATCTATTCTGATGTTTTAAGAGTCCTTAGTGAGGGAATAGCTCACCATTATTTAGAAGATGTTTATGTAGAAGTGTTGCCAGAGTAGATACAATGCACTAATTTACTCGTAATTAACTAATGTAACTCAAACACATACTCTCTACCTATAACTAAATGAACTGAACTTTGCTCTGTACACTATGTAGTGTGATCAAAATATACAATGAATGCTTAAATTGAAAAATTTATTACTGTAAAAGATACATTGGAATTAATCCCCCTCAAAATACCCTCCCTCCCTTTGAACACACTTGTCTGGTTCTTTTTGCCACTTTCTAAAAGTCTTCTTTCATGATTGTGTTTGGAGGTGTATTAAAAAGATATGGTGAATCCTGCTGCCAAGTGCCATCCAATGGAAAAGCAGCCTTGTAAAAAAACATTTCAGTGTGTTCCCATCCACCTTATTCAATGGATCTGACACGATGTACTTTTAGACTTTTTCCCAAAGTCAAAGTGACATAAAAGATGAATGTTTTGAATCAATTCAAGACATTCAAGCAGCCAAGACACCACAACTAAAAACCTTCATGAAAGAGGACTTCCAGAACTGCTTCAGACAGTGGGAAGAATGGTGAGATATGTGTTTGAGGAGAGGGGCCATCTTTTGAGGAGGATTAATGGTGATGTTTCTTTTATTCTAATGTTTTTTAAAATTTTAAATATTCATTATATGTTTTAATCATACCTGGCATATGAGTTCTGGCAAGAAAGCTGAATGGGCCTAGTCCCTCATGGAGATATAGTTTGCAGAGAAAGCAAGCATGAACAATATGTTTTGAAAAGTGACATGAATGTTTCCATGGAGAGCCAGAGGTGACAGCAGGATGACTGAGAGCACAGACCATGGCTGCCTCGGCTAGTATGTGGCTGAGGAGTGAACTCTGTGTGTTTGTGCATATGCGTGTGTATTTGTGTGCATGTGTGTGTTTGTGTGTGTGTGTGTGAGAGACAGAGGAGCTGAGGAAACACTCTGATGGAGAAAGTGGGGGGGTGGGCTCAGAATTACCCTGGAGAGGGAGCCAGAGGCCAGATGAATAAGATCTGAAATACAGCTAAGGACCAAGTTAAAAACAAATCCGAGATCTCTAAGCTATCTATACGGAGGGCTCTGAGATTCTGCCTATCTGCTGGGTGAAAATTGAACTTGGAAACAGCTTGGACAGGAACCTCAGTGCTGTCTTAGCAGAAGTTTTTGTGGACTGATTGTAGGAGTAATTTCTGGCTCCCTTGAAAAATTCATAATGCCTGGAATTTTAAACTGTGAAATTGATTTAAAAAATGTGTGTTTATTCAGTACAAAGATGAAAGGGCACCTTAAAGTTCCTAACACATTTCTGAAACAAGAGATTTGCCACTACATAAATATCACCTTATTTGTCACTTTACTGGAAAGATCTTGCATAAATTGTCGCATTGCTTTGGAGTGCTGGTTTCCACTGAGCTGGTCACTATTTGCATCATCCTCATGTCACCTCACTGGCCACTGTGGATTTGTAGCCAGAACAGAGAGTACTGTCCTCACCTGCAGTGTGAAGGTGCCGACATGGACTTCTTGGGGCTGAGCTCCAAACTTCAGAGGATGTCAGTGAAATCGAGTTTGATGTGGAGCTCTAAAGTTTCTCACCATGTAACTGTTTTCAGTATGCACTGTGGTCATTGGATTTCAGCAGCTCTTCTGGTAAGAGTCCAGTGGTGAGCATGTCAGTGCTCTGGAGGGAAGGTGGAAAGCACTCTTGCAAGCATGCTAGCACATTCTAAATTGAATTACCATTGCTTGCTGGGCCCTTGCTCTGTGTTTTCCAAAAGCATCTTCAAATTCTTTTAAATAATACATTTAAGAGTTTTCCCCATAGTATTTTAATGTCACACTTAGAATCTACATCAATGGTTAGTCAGTAAATGTTGGATGAAAGAAGTGTCACCATGATGGATTAGCTGGAACCAAATTATTGAAATATTGATATTTGGCTTTTAAGGTATATGTTTTAAAAGTTGAATTACTTCTTTATTTGATTATCTGACATACTGTATTTCTAAGTGTTTTTCAAGACTTTATAAAGGATGATCTAAAAATGCCTTTCTGGATTTGAAACAGTATGCTTTCAAAAGCTCCTGTAAGATATTTAAAGTCCCATCAACACCTTTTATTCCAAACTAATAAAGTTTTCTGGGTGATGACTAGTATCAAAAACTATTAGATAATACATATTTTTAAAGATGATTTGTGCATTTTAATGAATGGATTGGCTACCTGTGGAAGCTCTCTGAAAGTGATTTATGTCACTTATTTGTTTCAGTTTGAAGCATGTACAATAAATGGAGTAAACACCTAATTTCTTTCA